CAACAAGTTTGATCAGGAATCAGGATAATATCATCAGACGATGGAAATCGTTAGTAATCCACAAACGACACCTGGCCTCATTGCTGCTACGCGGCAACATAGCCTGATGTTTCGTGTTTCACTCGATTATTACGTGTAGACACCAGATTGACATGCAAAAACCAACATTACTCCTTGTACACCGTCACTGGATCACGTTCACTCTTTAAAGTCCCCCAATAAGCCCGAATATGCTCATCCAATATCCAATATACAACAAAATTCTCTCCAAATCGAAAATGGCAGATTTACGTGATGATGTGGGAACCCAATTCAGCTGACAGATGAAGCGGAACCCAGTTCAGTTAACCGACGAATACGGTAACCCCATGCAACTTACGGGTGTTGCTCTCACCAAAGGTGAACCTACTGCTACGAGCCAAGTCCACGGCGTTGGTGTTGGTTTTCCACCGGCTGCTGCTCATTTGCCTGGTGGTGTTCATGATGAGAGTTCAGCTCAGCTGTTTCGTGGGAAGGTCAACATGAGCGTCGAGATTTGAAGCAAGAGTTGGACATGAGCGCCAGCGTGATCAGCATTTGGGTGCTGGAGAGACGATTCAGCGCTCGGGCAGTTCAAGCTCTAGCTCGGTGAGACATATAAATATATTATATTATATTCCCCATGCACCTTCTGATCTATTTTTTTTAATCTTTTAACTCTAAAATTAATTGCCTTGGTGCATGCATACGCATTCTGAGGATGATGGGCAAGAGGAGAGGAAGAAGGACTGAAGGAAAAATAAAAGAGAAACTGGGGCAAGTGGGAAGAACAGGAAGAGCATTCACAGACTACAATCATTTCCACCACCACACCACCACCCGCTCCAGGGCAACACCACCAGCAAGAGCAGCATCATGAGAAGAAAAGTATGATGAAAGATCAAGGAGAAACTTCCTGGTATCATTCCCATTAATACGTTACGTAAAACATATATATATATATCAACTTGTACATTGGATTGTGGTGTCTATGATAAGCTTGTTTTGTGCTAAGATCGATGTGTGTTTTTGTTTTTGTTCTGGTTAAACTTAAAACTGCAACTAGCTGTGTGCCATTAGGCACAGGACTGAGCTAGCTTATAATTAAGTTGCAGCAATTAATAGGTTAGATCAACTTGTATGGATGTTTACGGCAATTCACAATGTTTATATTGTTAAATTTTGCTTCAGATCTTGTATTTTTTTTAGTGTGTTTAGTGTAATATTATTTGCCTACCAATTCATGGTGGGTTCATCTTTTAGAAGTTCAGGCTCCGTTTGATATAGTTTTTTTAATAATATTTTCTGAATAGATAGGATAGTATTTAATTAATAGAATAGATCTAAGATAAATGTATTGGGTATATTTTTGAAAATTTTGATTATTTTTAACCCTTTACATTTTTTAATTTAGTTAAACACTCTCAATTATAAAGTTTATAAATTAATAAAAACACCTTCACCACTCAATTGATTGTCGGTAGCCGATCATCACCGTCGGACGGTGGCTAAAAGTTGTTGGAATGATATACGATCGGTTAGATCTGGCTGGTTGTGAGCTGATTTGGTCGTTTTTTGGCCAGATCCACCATGGATCATAGATCTGGCCAGAAATGGCAAGATTTATAGCCAAAGATCTGGCTATTGATGCTCGTCATATCTTGGCAAGTGATTGTTGTTTGGTGGGTAGAGGTTTTTTTGTTGTATTTATAAATTTTTATTGAGAAATGTAATTATTAAATGTTTTGAGTTGAATAGAATATGATCGGATTTTAATAATATTAAAACAAACACGTTTTTCATTTTTTATGAAAAATAGTAAACACAATAGGGTTGGAAAAGTTAAACACAACAGGGTAATGTAAGACAGTAAGAGTCAATATTTATTTCAAGGTGTACTGAAATATCTCATGCTATATCTAAGATGGCAATGGGCCCGATATTTTAGGGTACAGACCCGACCCGAAAAGGTCGGGCTTTATCCGGTGTTCGCGGGCTTGAGCTTGGCCTAGCCTGATTTAAGGTCCGATCTCAAGTATGGGCGTTTGGGTATATCTTTAGGCCTGACCCGGTCTAACAATTTTAGTATTAATTTTACTAAATTATCTTATACTATGTATTTAATTACAAGATTATCCTACATATATAACTCATTTTTTCCCAAACTATAATCTCATCCCATTTGATGAGTTATTCAAAAATAAATTAATATTTAAAACATTTTTTAGAATTAAAAATATGAAAAAAATTAAAATTTTAATATTTAAAATTCACATTATTAAATGGGCAGCTTGGGCTGGGCCTAAGGTTACAAAAGCCCGTCAGGCCGGGCTTGGGCTTTACCTATCATAACGTGGACGGGCCCGACTGGCTTGAGCCTTTGTCATGAGGTTGGGCTTAAGCTTGGGCCAAGGGGTACCCATCCCGGCCTAGCCCATTGCCATCACTAGCTATTCATTGTAAAACCCATTTTACATGTTTTTAAAATAAATTTTTTATTTTAACCCATAAAATTGATCGGTCTATCTCTTATTTTGTCGTGGATTCGAACTATTGTGTTAGAGTGTATTTAGTGTCTATCTTCGTTCTGTTGCTAATCAAAATTTTGTTGAAAAGCTTTAGACAAATACGTAGTGAATCATTATATATACATATTGTTGATGCTTGATTTTTACATCAATTACTCGCACGTGTAAAATGCTAAAAGACTTAGAAGTCACCGTGATATAGGGGATTGAATTAAACAGAAAAAGAGTAATATTTAAAGTGGTTCAGATGCTCAAAGCAATCCTACGTCCACTGCTATTGTATAATAAAAAAGAGAGGTCAGTCGCGTTTACGAGTTGAGTTACAGTTTAGAGAGAGAATACAATGAGAAGAGAGAGAGAGAGCTATTTAAGTGTAAATTAACTAATCCCTGAAAATAAGAGGGAAGTCCTCTATTTATAGTGGGAGAGTTCAAGATAATGATATAAAAAACTGCAAGTGGGTGAGTGCCGTGCGAATCATTTTTCTTGTGTGTCCCATTGGTCACTTGCCCGAGGGTTTTCCTCGATTAAAGCATGACTTTAACATGTGGCGATCTCCAGTTGTTTGCTGACCTGACATTCACCTGCTGCACTGACAGGAACCATACCACTTGCGCTAGATGCGACTAGCCGCACCTGGACAACACCGAATCCCTATGAGCTCTGACCATCCTTTACTGATGGCTCCACGTCAGTTCTACCTTTTCAGGCATAACATATACATATAGTGTCAACTTCATAATGTATTGTCATCTCCCATTAATGTTATATATGTGATGACTACCCAATGGTGAATTGGACTCATAAGACTTCCATTATTATTATATTTTCATTATTTCGTTCTTCTGATTGCATGGCCATAAAGCTTTATATATAAAGTGAATCTCCACTCCCATGAAACATGGGAGTGACCGAAATGCATTCACCTCCTTGGCGTTTCCTCTCCTTCACGTAGACTACTTGTTTCCATGGTGGGTGGTTGTTAGGATGACGAAGAGACGCACCTTCCTTTCTTAGATAGTTGCTTTTGGTTGTATTCAATGAATGATTTTGATTTTATTTATTTATTATAATATGCGATAATACTTACAAGTTTGTTTCGTGTTCAAAGTTGTATTTGTCTTACATCGTCTAATTTGATAGGTGATATGATGTATATATATGGTTGGACTTTCTTCTCGAACGAGTTCTTCGGTTTGAGTTCTACCTAAACTCATTTGAAAGTTAAATGTTTTGAGGCTGTGGGTTTTAACTAGCTGTTTATTGAGTTAACGACTTTTTTTCCACCCAAATAATGTTAATGACATTTAACTTTTGAAGAGGGGAGTCGAACAAAGAACAAACTCGGTCCAATTGTTAGGCTTTTGAAGATGGGAGGCCGATGAATCTTTTGATGGTGAAGGTTGAATTTTGGTGGTTGTGATTGATCGAAATTTACTTGGAAGGGACGACTACGAAACTCTAATTGCTTGATTGCTAGTGATTTGCGGGGTCGGCGAGAGTTGAGTTGAGGAGTTTTAATGAATAATAATCGGGGAAGAGAATGTGGTGGTGTAGGGTCGTAACGATGTCGAAATCGAAACGGAATATAAATTTGGATAACAAAATGATTTTTTAAAAGTATATGGGCGGAAAAGTGTCATTAAACTATTATTTGGGTGAAAAAAGACTTTCCTCATATTTATCAGAATGATGAGTTTCTTTATTATTATTATTTAAAAAAAATTAATATTAGTCTATTTTACTATTTAAAAAATAAAAATTAATAAGACTTAAAATTATGAGGTTCGAATTCATTAGAAAAATCGACACCTTGATCTTTCGGTTTTATAGGATATTTAATGGACTTTAGAGATTAGTTAAGATACATGTAAAATGACCCAATATCCCTGTTATCGAAAAAAAAATCGACAAGATATTTTATTTAACTACTTATATGCATATATTTTCTCTTTTTCATTTATATTTCCATTAAAATAGTTTAAAATAATAAATATAGATTAAAAATGAAAAGAAATTATACATGTATTAAACAATTGTATAAATATTAGTTTAAACAATTATAAAATTCAAATTGTCAAAAAAAAAAAAAAAACTCTCATCTGGAAATCCAACGGTGCAAAACACGTCAACTTCCACTAATTCAAACTCCAAAGCACTCACTCTTTTGAGACAGCTCTGCGTGCGGGTTCCTTTCTCACGTCGTCAGTGGTCACTTCCGTTCAGTCTTCTCCTCTCAACGCTCCCACTTTTCCCGCCTATTTAAACCCTCCTTCTCAAATGCACTCTCAACTTCACTTCCTCTCCCTGTCCTCCAGACCTCTCGCATTGGTTCCCTCCACTTCTCTCCACAACGGCCGAACACTCAATCTTCGTCAAAACGACGACGCTCTCTCGTTTATTCATCAGCTTCCGGCGCTTAAGCGTCCTTCGCTCTCTCTTCAATCAAGAGCCGCTAAAATCTCCGCTATGGCTTCTAATTCTAACCTCTCTAACCACGCTGTCGCTGCTAATGGAGTCGGCGAACCTGACCTCATCTCTTCGCTGACGTCGGCAATAAAGTTGCGGATGCTGCCGGAGAAGTTATTCGCAAATATTTTCGGAGTAAATTTGAAATTCTTGATAAAGAGGACTTGAGTAAGTAGTCAATTGAATATGTTTTGTTGATAATTTTTCTATAAGTGAAGTTAGTGTTATGATTTTGAATAAAGTTATTAATTTTTTATTTTTTTATTTTTTTTATTATTTATTTTTTTTTTTATAACTCTGATTGGTGTATCTTTGTTAATTTGAATCTTTGCAGGTCCTGTAACATTGCCGATCGAACGCAGAGGAAGCTATGATTTCAATTATATTAGAGATTTTTCCTTCTCATGCAATGTAAGTTATGTATTGGGGACTGAGAGAATTGAAGTCAGTAGTTTGCTAAAATTGAGGAAATGATAATATTTTCCTTATGTTTACTACTGTTTTCAGTCCAGAAAATTTGACAATTTAAAGCTAAGTGAAGAAAAAATATGGTCATGAGTGCTTTGTTTATGGTTTTTTTGATATTAAGATATCTATTGAGGAGAAGTATTCATTTAATTCTTTTTTCGCCTTTCCTTGCAATTACAGAGTAAAAGTTAAACATTTAAATCTTAATAATGCATGTAAGTTCTTGAAGTTTATTATTGATATGTTGTTGCTGAAATGATTGAAGAGTTGTAACTGTAGTTTTGGAGAGGAGAATGGATGGAGGTGTAAAGAGAAGTTTGCAGACTATGTTTGGGTTTTGGATCCAATAGATGGGACAAAGAGTTTTATCACTGGTATGTTTCTATCTGTTTTTTCAAATTACTGTCACTAAGTTTATGCTTTGAATACTTTGCCAAAGAAATTCTGTATGTTTACTCATGTCAGGGAAACCCTTGTTTGGTACTCTCATTGCACTGTTATATCGAGGGAAACCGGTAAGAATCTCATCTCGATTGGCAAAAGTTTAGTTATATAATTTTTTTCACCTTTACTATGTTGAGTGTAAAATTGCACAGTGAGTTAATTGCATAATAGGTTCTGGTTGAAAACTGGTATTCATGTGTTTGCAGATTCTTGGCATAATTGATCAGCCTGTTTTGAGAGAAAGATGGATTGGAATAAGTGGAAAGAGAACTACATTGAATGGACAAGAAGTGTCTACACGCACTTGTGCAAAATTGTCGCAAGCATATTTGTGTTGTTTTCCTATCTTTTGAATATATTTTTTCTCTAGCAAGACTAATTGTGCCTACTGCTAGCTTCTGAGCCCTTTGCTCCAGGACAGTTAAACTACATCTTTACAAGTCCTTTGCTGGCTGATATGCACAATTTGTTTGCAACTGTTTAAATAGTGATAAAAAAAAAAAATATGCACAATTTGTTTGCAACTGTTTAAATAGTGATAAAAAAAAAAAATTTTAATAAAAAATAACCTGCTTTCTCTTTGACCTTTTCCTCTCTCTGTTTAGATACACTACAAGCCCTCATCTCTTCAGTGGAGATGCTGAACATGCATTTGATCGTGTGAGAAGTAAGGTCTGTGCTATTGTTTAAAATTGATTTTGATAGTGTTCGTTTTCTCTTCAAATGCAGTAGTTAACAGGATGAAATGGCAATATGATTTGACCTTTGTGAGATGTTGACATATGATGTCTAAGATATTAAAGAAATTACAGTCTTCAACTATGGGTCTGTCAAGGTTTCCTTGTAACCTTATAAAATCCTTGATTTATTAATTCCCAAGTCTGAAGTTTTCCTTCCACTTATCAATTCTGTACAGGTGAAAGTGCCACTGTATGGTTGTGACTGCTATGCTTATGCCCTTTTGGCTTCGGGATATGTGGATCTAGTTGTTGAGTCTGGTCTCAAGGTAAACTGCATGCATTTAAGTCTGCAATAGTAATTCTGTTTTGTTATGAATTCACGCAAGTGTGGCTGTGAAGAAAGCACTTTCATTAATAAGGGAGATAATGCTAGCAATTCAAACTGGGGACACTTTGAAGAATAAATAAGCACCACCTAATCTTATTTGAATGAGAAGGCCGGGTTGTCCAAATTTCTAATGCATTCTGTAACTGGAGAGAATTTATCTCAACAAAATGCAGTAAAATTTAAATCACTGGCTTTGTTTTTACACCACTTGTGCACTTTTGTGTTACTTTGTGGTTGGATTTTGTATGGCATCCATGTGAATATCTTATTTCTTGTATTATTTGATGCCCAAAAGTGGGTTGATTTAATTGTCTTCGTCTAACTAAAACTGTGACTTCACAGCCATACGATTTTCTTGCTCTGATACCTGTAATAGAAGGTGCTGGGGGTGTTATAACTGATTGGAGAGGAGATCAACTTTACTGGGAGGCTTCTTCAGATTCACGTCCAACAAGTACATCCCCTTTTATTAACATTTTTTTTTTTTTTTTGGAATCTTTGTTCTTAGTTCCCTCGGGTTAAACTTTATGAAACAAGTTCTGATATCAGATCTGCAAATTTCAAAGGTGCCATTTAATAAATTGCATCTATTTGTCTTCATCCATCATGTTTTGTCCCATTATCCAGGTTTCAATGTGGTGGCTGCGGGAGACAAACAAATTCACCAACAAGCTTTGGAGTCATTACAATGGCAGTGAAGATTTGCATTTGTCTGCAACTCATGGAAAAATGGTAAAATTCCACCAGTTCCCTTGATCAGGAGTTGGGTTCATGTATTTATCTCGAGAACAAGCGTGACCATGGGGACTAAATGAACTACTAGAAATAAAATAATGATTATTGAGAGGATTAAATGTCATTTGTCTTTGCCGTATATCAACAAGAAAATTGAAATATTGCTTTATAGAATTGCTTTCAGTTTCTTTAAACAACTAGAAATATTGCTATATCAACAGGATTACATGACATTAATCTTGTTGGGTTTAAGGACCCTTAATTGTGGATTTTCCCAAAATGTTTTAAAGGATCATATTTTACAGCAAGTGTAATTGAAGCCACTTATCATCAGTTGTCAAACATCATGTATTTGTTGTATATGTCATGTCTCAATTGATCACAATCGGTATCTGTTGCATGTATAATTCATGTCTCGGCTTATTGCAAAAGTTGCCAGCCTTAATCTCTTATATAAAAGTTGTAATGGGAAAGGGAAAAAAGGGAACGGCAAAGAGAATGGTAACGAGAAAGGGAAAGGGAATTGTAACGGGAAAAGGAAAGTGAAAGGAATCGTAGTGGGAAAAGGAAAGTGAAAGGGAATGGTTATGGGAAAATGGAAAGGCAATTGTAATAGGAATGGGAATGGGAGAGGGAATGGCAATGGGGATGAGAAAGGGAATCGTAATTGGAATGGGAGTCGAAAAGGGAATCCTAATTGGAAAGGGAAAGGGAATCTTTATAGGAAGGAGAAACAAAATCTTAATGGGAATGGGAATAGAAAAAGGAATTGTAATAGGAATGAGAAGCGGAATCGTAATGGGAATGGGAATCGAAAAAGGAATCGTAACAGGAATTAGAAGCGGAATCGTAATGGGAATGGGAATTGTAATAGGAATGAGAATGAGAATGGGAATGGAAATCATAATGGGAATGGGAATCGTAATAAGAATGGGAAGGGGAATGGGAAAGGGAAACGAAATTGTAATAGGAATGGGAAGGGGAATGGAATGAGAATGAGAATGGGAATGGGAAAGTGAAGCAGAAACGGAAACGAAATTGTAATAGGAATGGGAAGGTGAATGGAAAGGGAAAGGGAAAGGGAAAGGGAAAGAGGATTGTATTAGGAAAGAAAGGGGAATGGGAATGGGAGTGCAAACGAGGAAGGAAAAGGGAAAGGGATGGGAATACGAAAGGGAATGGTCATGGGAATGGAACGGGAATATGAATGGGAATGGCAATGGATAACGGGAATGGGAATGAGAATGGGAATGGGCACAGGAATGGGAATGGGAGTGCAAATGGGGAAGGAAAAGGGAAAGGGATGGGAGTAGGAAAGGGAATGATCATGGTAATGGGAATGGGACGGGAATATGAATGGGAATGGCAATGGATTACTGGAATGTGAATGAGTATGGGAATGACTATGGAAATAGGAATGAGAACGGGAATGGGAATGGAAAAGAGATGAGAACGGGAATGAGAATGGGAAAAATTATGAGAACTAGTACAATGATAATAATTGGAATAGGAATAGAACTCAGAACGGGAATAGAAACTAGAACAAAAACAAAAACTAGAACAAAACCCAGAATAGGATTAGAAAAATGAGACGGTGAAGAAAATGCTTCAAAAAAACTCTACGATTTACCCATAATTAAAAGTCATTACCAGCCGAAAAATTAAAAAAAAAAACAGGGTAATCGGGGTTTTGTGGCTTTTTTGCTTGTTTTAGTTACAAATTTTTGAGGTAACATTTGGTAAAAGCATCTTTTGTCTTCAATCCATCATGTTTTATTCCCTTATCCAGGTTTCAATGCGGTGGCCGCTGGAGACAAACAAATTCACCAACAAGCTTTGGAGACATTACAATTAATGGCAGTGAAGATTTTCATTCACCAACTGCAAATAAAAGTAACACTATTATAAAGCAAGTCTTGAGTTCGATCCACCCGGATTGCTAACAAGAGTGGCCACTAATGGGATTTATCCGGCTGTTAATTTCAGGGTCTCGGAGAATTAGTTGAGGTATACCTAAGTGGACTCGGACACCCAATTTATTTTCCAATAATCGTTCTCAATGAACCATAACTCTCATCAGCTTTGAACTGAAATCTAAAACAAGAGTCACATTTATATTGAGCTGACTGATCAATACACATATGACCCTTAAATCTGAATTTTCGGAAAGTCTATTAAAGGATCAGATTTCCCCAAGTCTCATTTATCTGTTGCATGAATATGCCATGTCTCAGTTGCAGCAGGTTATGTTGGATTACTGACATTAAATTACTTCAATTGCATATGTTATCATTTTATTTTTTGTGACCACGGTATTCGGGCCAGTTTGCACACATCTCAACTAATCCCCGAAACCCTGAAGTTAACGATCGGATAAACCTTCAGTGGCCCTCCTACTAGCAACCGAGGTTAATCAAACTCGGGACCTTTTGAATAATACCTAAGATTATATTGATAAGATTCGCTATATCCCAATTTCCATCAGCTTAATTTGAACTACAATCTAAAACAATCAGTGGAGAGAAAGAGAGAGATATATATGGAGTTTGACGGGTTCAAATGGGTGTCTCCTGTTTAGCCCCAGCGCCATTTTCTGTTACCACTTACTAAAAAAAGCCTTACCAGAAATTTTACAGAAAAAGATCCTTCTCCATAAACCTTGCCCTTTTTTCAGGAATGCAAACTTCTTTCAGGCTGTCAATGGCTTTCCTCCTCTGAGAATAAAGAAAACTCAGTAAAAAATAACACCACACCCCCATTTTAGTAAATAAAAACAAAATCCTCTTCAAACATCCTTTATTGGATCCAGTTCTAAACATCCCTTCTTCAACCAGGAGGGATGGACATAGAAAAACAATAAAACTGAAATCAAACAAAAAAAAAAAAAAGAAAAAAAAGAAAAAAAAAAACTAAGCAATCCCATTTCTATGCTCCTCTATGTCGTCGTCTTCATCTTCTTCATCGATGGCTATCCTCCTGGTTCTTGTTTTTGCTTTTGTCTCCAGCCCCTTTACCGCCTTTTCAGACACCACCACCAGCTTCACTCCCAAAGATAATATCCTCATTGATTGTGGAGGCAAGTCCTCTTCTGCTCTTCCTGATGGAAGAACATTCAAAACAGATAAGGAATCCTCTCAATTCTTGCAAACTAAAGAGGACATTCAAGTTTCTGTCCAGTCAGCTGATGTACCTTCACCTATATATTTAACTGCTAGAGTTTTTACAGAAGAAGCGACTTACAATTTCCGTTTGACAGAAAATAGATGGCATTGGATACGTCTCCATTTCTTTGCCATGTCTGTTAAGGAACATGACCTGACGAAAGCATCGTTCTCCGTTGAAACAGGAAAACATGTTCTCCTTCACAACTTCAAACTCGAAAATAATAATCAAGTTGTCCTGAAGGAGTACTTGCTCAATGGGACTGACCCTACATTGTCTCTCAAGTTTATACCAATGAAGAATTCAATGGCTTTCATTAATGCCATTGAGGTTGTTTCTGCTCCGGATGACTTGATCAGTGATGAAGGCTCCAGTCTTTTCCCAATTAATAGTTATCCTGGTTTGACCAAATTTTCATACCAATATGTGCACAGGATTAACATGGGGGGAGCTTTGATCACCCCAGAGAATGACACACTTGGTAGGACTTGGGTGCCTGATGGTCCATATCTTAAGGATAAATCCTTGGCTAAAAGTGTCTCTGTTGGTTCTGATAGCATCAAATATCCAGAAGTAGTCACACCATTGATTGCACCAGTAGCAGTGTATTCTTCTGCTTCGGAGATGGGTGAGTCAGCCACAATTCAACCAAATTTCAATGTCACATGGAACTTTGATGTCGACACAACGTTTAGCTATCTGCTTCGGATGCATTTTTGTGACATTGTAAGTAAATCCATGGATGATCTATATTTCAATGTATACGTTAATGGGAAAACTGCAATATCTGGGTTGGATTTGTCTACCCTCACAAAGGCTCTGGCCACTCCATACTATAAAGATATTGTAGTGAATGCTACACTCATGTCCGGTGGACTCAGCGTTCAAATTGGTCCAATGAATCAGAATACTGGTACAAGAAATGCAATTCTAAATGGGTTGGAGGTTATGAAAATGAGTAATTCAGTAAATAGTTTGGATGGAGAGTTTGGTGTTGATGGCAGCAAGGAAGGTTCATCCAACCGTGGTACAGTAGCTGCAGTTGGATTTGCAATGATGTTTGGAGCATTTGTTGGACTTGGTGCAATGGTGATTAAATGGCACAAGAGACCCCAAGATTGGCAAAGGAGAAATAGCTTTTCTTCTTGGTTGCTTCCTCTGCATACTGGTGACACAAGCTTCATGACTAGCAAGACCGGCTCTCACAAGAATGGCTTTAACTCAGCTTTAGGCCTAGGCAGGTACTTCTCTTTGGCAGAGTTGCAAGAAGCAACAAAAAACTTTGACAATAGTGCCGTAATCGGTGTTGGTGGATTTGGCAATGTGTATCTTGGTGAGATTGATGATGGAACCAAAGTCGCTGTCAAGAGAGGGAACCCACAATCCGAACAAGGTATCACAGAGTTTGAAACAGAAATCCAAATGTTATCTAAGCTTAGGCATAGGCATTTGGTGTCACTTATTGGCTACTGTGATGAGAATTCAGAAATGATCCTGGTTTATGAGTACATGTCCAATGGACCATTTAGGGATCACTTGTATGGAAAAAATCTGCCACCATTGTCATGGAAGCAAAGGCTGGAGATATCTATTGGTGCTGCTCGCGGACTTCACTATCTTCACACTGGAACTGCACAAGGTATCATTCACCGCGATGTTAAGACCACAAACATTTTGCTTGATGAAGCATTTGTTGCCAAGGTAGCAGATTTTGGACTTTCCAAAGATACACCAATGGGACAGGGTCATGTAAGTACAGCTGTGAAGGGAAGTTTCGGGTATCTGGACCCAGAGTACTTCAGGCGGCAGCAATTGACAGACAAATCAGATGTGTACTCATTTGGTGTGGTTCTGTTTGAGGTACTGTGCGCCAGGCCTGCAATTAACCCACAACTGCCAAGAGAACAAGTTAATTTGGCTGAATGGGCAATGCAATGGAAGAGAAAAGGTCTGCTTGAAAAGGTCATGGACCCTCATCTGGCAGGTACTATCAATCCTGAATCAATGAAGAAGTTTGCTGAGGCTGCAGAGAAGTGTTTGGCCGAGCATGGTGTGGACAGGCCTACAATGGGAGATGTATTGTGGAACTTAGAGTATGCTTTGCAATTACAAGAAGCTTTCACAAAAGGAAAAGCTGAGGATGATGAGTCTGTTACTGCCTCCACTAATGCTGTACTTCCACCAACCACTCTTTCTTCCCCCTCGGACAATCGTCCGGTTACTCATCCGGAGGAAAACACAGGACCGGCACAAGTTGAGGCCATCAATTCACATTCAGGAACTGCAATGTTTGCCCAGTTTTCAGGGCTTAATGGTAGGTAAATTATGAATATGTTTTGAGTGATTGAAGAATGTGTAAAGTGGTGCAACACCAAACAGTCTTGTGGAGTAAATTTATACATGTGTAGCACTGATGGTCTGTTCTGCTTCTTCATGAATGGGAAACAGTTAGCATTTTGAACGTCCATGGATAGCATTTCTGATATACTAATGTACAATGTTGCTGAATGTTACAATTATTTGAAGTAGACATTTTTTTTTTTTTTTGTATTTTTGTATTTTTTTTCTCCTGTCTATCTTGTGCCTATGTCGCAGGGTATATAGTTCCATAGTGACACACATTTGTATCAAACATAATTTATGATCAATGTATTGCACAGATGGGTGTTATATGATGGTTTAGCTGTTTTATCAGAGTAGAAAAATATGCAAATTTTGTTGTAAATTTGCAAGAAAATGAAGAACAATTTTTTACTGATATGGAGCTTCATATCTGATTGTATGTTGGAAGACTAGCCAGAGCAACAGGAAAATAAAGGCAATTCTAGACCCTGATTAGCTGATTCAATCTCATAGGCATAACAAGGCTAATCAGAGAGACCAACTGAAAGTTTACACCAAAATTTAGTGCTTAAACCACCACCGAGTAATCCAGCGGTCAACTAGGACTCTTGGGTGCATTACTCAAGAGGTCCTGAGTTTGGTCCACCTGGGTTGTTAATAGGGATGACCATTGAGGGGATTTATTCGGCTATTAACTTCAGGGCTCCGGGGGATTAGTTGAGGGGCACACAAACTCGTCCGGACACCCCCAATCACCCAAAAAAAAAAAAAAAAAAAAAAAAAAAAAAAAAAGAAGAATTTAGTGCTTAAGAACTTGAATCCAATAAAAAAAATGCCAAGATTTTGTACTGCTTTCTGTCTCAGTATTAATATAATTGGTTATAGTAGATCTGTGTAGACTGTCTGATACCTTCACTTTTATTCGTATCTGCAGAAACTACAAGAAATTTTTTTTACTGATAATTAAAAACCTTGGCAGCATAATTTGTCAAGATACTGAAAAGTTATGAAGAAACTAGATTTATTCCATGCATGATATTGAGGCTTTACTAATTGATACAAAGAAAACCAGCTACCATACATACCGGGTGCTGGTTTTCAGAACCCAGGATATGGGTCCATAAAATGTGCAGTTCTTTAGCTCATGACAATAAGCCATTTCACACTGTGGAACTTGACGTTTGTCATTTATATATTTTGGTATCCGGGAGTGTTCGGGTCAGCTTCCGCGTATCTCAACTAGTTTCCTAGAATCCTAAAGTTAACGGTCAGGTAAGACTGCAGTAGCTATCTCCTTATTAATAGTCGTGGAAAAACGAAATCAAAACCTTTTGAGTAATACATCTAAGAATCCCAAGTAAACCGTCAAACTACGTAGAGATAATTAGGTTTGTCATATTCCATATCGCTAACAAAAGGGAATCTGAGATTTAATTTATAAGGTTTGAATTCTCGTAATTAGCATTTTAGACGAAAGACAGCTTAAGTGAAGACAAAAACAAATCAGTACCAGCTGAACTCAAAACTGATAATATATCCACCAAAACAATTACCAGTGGAGCCTAAAATTATTCAGGTTTGCTGTAGATATTCCAAAGGAATTAGAGATGGAGCATGCCCTTTTGACTTATATATATATATATATATATATATCCAGGTCAGCTTGCGTATACTTCAACTAATCTCTCAGGGTTCTGAAGTTGACAACCGGGTAAATCCCCTCAGTGGCTATCTCTATTAACAATCCAGATAGATCGAACCCAGGACCTCTTGAACAATACATTTAAGAGTCTTAGTTAACCGTTGGACCATCCAACGGTGGATAATGCGACTTTTATATTCCTGAAAGAAAGTGGTAAATGGGTTAGTTTTATTCCCACTCTACAACGTGGTGAGCCTAAAGAATGGTTTAGATCAATTGCTTTATTAACATATATCCTCAATAGATAAAAAGGAGCGGTGGGAACAAAAAGGTGTAATATGCGAAGGTAGATTTGATTGAACAAGAGCAAGTATAGATAAGGATGTGGATATAAGATATATAAAGCTAAACCAAATTAAGCAACATGGCATGGTTCAGCCCACATTTATAGATAAAGCCAATACCTCCTCCATATCAGTATTAAAGCTTATTATATAAAAAACCATTGACCCTGAAACTGTTTAACTCCATCGCTTTTGGATATGGATCAATATGAAGATGAAACGAGGTGCTTCGACATGGGTTCGTTGCAGACAAGTCTTCCTAAAAAGTAAGAAAAGACTTTTTTTGTTCATTAATGGTGGTGTTTAATTGTTGTTTATGAAATATTGAATGTTTATTATATTATGATTTGCAGAAGAGGGTTGTCAAGGTATTACTCAGGGAAGGCAAGATCATTTACGTGCATGGCGGATGTTCGAAGTGTAGAAGACCTTAAGAAACAAGAAAAACCAGACGCCAAGAAAAGGAAGGTCAAATATTTGAATAGGAATGAAGATGTGCAAAATAATATAATTCCTCAATATCCATGTCGAAGGGTTTCAAGTACCACCCACTTTGCCGCACCTTATGTTCATTAACCATTACGCTTCTCCTTCTGTAAATTTACATAATTTACAACCCAAATTTCCTTGGCTTCTTGTATTCTGATATATATATATATATATATAGTGTCACGCCCCCTCCCGGGTATCCCTCTCCCGCCGCATCCGGACACTCCAGGAGACTCGGGATTCCGAGAGGAGGGTGAATATTATCATGGGACAGGGACACCCTATAGACCCCTATAACAATTGTTTTTTTTTTAATGTTTGGCTTATGTACAGAAGTCAAAAACTGATAATTTTATAAATATATAATCCATTGGGCAAATTAATCTTCTAGTTTGATGCCCTTTTTTAGCTCGAGGATGACATGCCGGCCGGTTTCAATTTTTTTTTTTTTTTTTTTTTTGTGATAGAGGGTGTCTGGGTTAGTTCGCACGCTGCTTAACTAATTTCCTGAGACTCTAAAGTTAACAGTCGGATATATCCTCATAATAGTTACCTCTATTACCTCTCGAGTGACATATAGACCCTTGTAACAAATTTTTTGTTTTTTTTTTTTTTTTTTATGTACACAAGTAAAAAATTGACAATTTTATAAATATATAATCCGTTGGGCAAATTAAACTTCATGTTTGATGCCTTTTTTTACCTTAAGGATGACATGCCGTTTCTAATAGTGTCAAGTAAACGATTTTTTTGTTTTTGGTGATTGAGAGTATCCGAGTCAATTTACACACACTTTAATTAATCTCCCAAGACCGTAAAATTGACAGCCAAATAAATCCCTATAATGATCATCTCTATTAGCAAGTTAAGTGGATCAAACTCATGACTTCTTGCATAATTCAACTTTCTTGTTTTTGGTGATTGAGAGTATCCGAACCAGCGTACACATACCTTAATTAATCCGTCAAAGCCCTGAAGTTCCATAATGACCATCTCTATTAACAAGTCAAGTGAATTGAACTTATGAGTTATGACTCCTTGAATAATATACTCAAGAGTCTTAGATAACCACTGGATCACCCGACGGTGGTTAGTAAACAACTCCTTCGCACACATTTATTTCGTTTGCTTTATTAACATCGACAACTGGACGTATGGAAATAAAAGACAAACTAAAATTACCCAGATCGCAATTCAAGAAACTATGGTATTTAAGTTCAATTCTTTCACTCATTTAATCGTAGGGTCAATAAATATCCAACATTCCGTCACTAGCAACATTACAGTCTCATCTCATCCATTGTCAACCTAGCTGGGTAAAAATACATATATATTGTTGTTATACAGAGAAATGGAGGCTACAATTAAATACTTTATCTAACACTTACAAGATACTCTCCTTGTTACCTAATAATTAACACTTTATGCACCAAAAGAATTTTCCATTCCTCACTAATGGTACAAAATTAGGAAGTAAGAAGTCTTCCACAGTCAAAGGTTGATTCCCACCACCAAAACTATTGCAATCTTTTCTTCTTGTTGGTGACTGAATCAAAATCATCAAGCATCACCAAATCGTCATCGTCATCATCATCATCAAGCTCTTTAACCTCCTTGTGATTTCCAGTTCCATCAGCAGCATTTGGAATATCCACTTCCGATAATTTACGTTTCTTCCCAGAAGGTTCTGAAATTTCATCCACCTCAGTATCCTTTTCAGCTTCTGCTTGCCGTGCATTTGATGTGCTCCCACCGTTTCCAACCACTGCAGGAGCTTGTGTCCATCCAGTTAGAACCATTCCATCCGGCTCCTTTTCTTCATCAAATTCATCCCTGATAAAATTCCAAGTATGTGATATATATAAGCAGCTGATCAAACGTAACAAAAAATTCATGACAAATCATGAGAATCGGGATCCAAATATTCATCACAAATCAACCAATCCAAACAATTCATGAAGCTTTGGACCATGTAAATCGGGCAGTACTACAGATTTTACCACACAACTGAATCTTCAAAAAGTCATCCGAGTTAAAGCAATGAAAAGTCTACTTTCTTCCTACTGATATCTCAATGAAACAAAAAATACAAAAAAGTTAAGGCTATTATCATTCAAGACACTAATGGACCATCATGAAAACCAACACAACCATAAGCTAAGCCATGAGAATATCAAAAAATAAAGAAAATAATCTGATCAACAACAGACACTTGTAAATTTACCCTAATCCCTCTTGAAAGAAAACAGAGGAACCGAACCCCAAAGCAATGATTATACAAGCTAAAGATCACTCACATGAGTGTATTTTTCCAGCCACTATACCAAAGGCCTTGATATGAGATATTACAAAACATGCATGCACTTATAAAACTTTACGAACAGATTTGTAAGGGAATGAACACTCTCCCATCCCCAAAACGAATGGAAATTAAGCAGCATTCTGCAAAATTTCAGGAGCAGTCAATAGAATGTATTATGCTTGGCTTTGAAATTTGCCTTATTAAAGTAAATACAAACCTATGTTTGATATTGATACTGCAAACCAACTCCTGTTGAAGATCCTCTACAGTGAGCATCGTCCCACTATTAACTGGAGAAGGAAGTTCAGATAGCACCTGAGGCAAGAACAAAATTGATTTAAACTAGAAAATGAAGGAGAGCGGAAGAGATACAAAGAAAAATGCATGGTTGCAACATTAAAGCAGTAAAGTCATTCCTAGCAAAAAGACAAAATTTACCTTCTCAAGGTTGGCAGCATAATTTGCTACCATATCTTCATCAAGATCATCACCAACTTCATAAAGAAGGTTTGAACCATGCATAATCAATGGAAAGTTCATGCCAAGCTTGGCCTTAACAATTTTTTCCACAAAATCCCGCAACTTTGAGCGATAAGTATTAATCTCAAGCAATAGTGGTGTCTGTTTTAAGCAGCAGATTACCATCATGACTGAGAAAAACATATAAAGAGATTTCCACAATAGTGTTAAAAGGAAATAAACTAGACCTCAGAGCAAACATAGCAGGACTTGTTTGGTTCATAAGGTTCCACTGGCATAAGGAGCATCTTTCTGCTAACATGTTCAAGACAATACGTCATCCTGCATATAAGTTCCAAATAAGACTTCAGCACATTCAGCAGTTGCTAATCTTAGATATAGATACAAAAGGCAATATTAATATCATCAAGCAAATGAATTTTGCAGAACAGAGTACAGAAACAGACCATTGGTAGCAGTTATCTTTTTCAAGTATTTCAAACAAGTAAAAGAATAGTCTCAGTTAAATTTCTTTACTAACTTATCATTGTACAGAGAATAAAGATAGATGTTCAGCAGACTACGAATCACATTAACATAAAACAAAACCTAAACAGATATGAGCCACACCGATAGTTATCAGTATCCTTCTGTAGCACCTTGATTGCTTCAATCACAATCAACCCAGCTATAATAGCATTTGTTGTTGCAACAGCATGCACAATATTACCAGCAATGCCTTTGGCTTCAAAAAGGCTATGCAAAGGAATGCCAAAAGAAGCAGCCCGAATATTTGCAGCAGCTGTAACAAATTCTACTGCCAACTGATCATCTTTATCGAAACTCAGGTTTCCAATCTCCTGCACAAAAATATGTTATATATACAATATTTAGCTTTGAACGGGAAAAGGAAAACTAGTTAATCAAGAAATTCAAAGGTTTTTTCCAAACATTGGTTTAAAAGCATGAGATCAAGACAAACCTTTTCTCTCTTCAGAAAAAATTGTTTCAAAGCCTCAAGAAAAACTCTTGTACTTTCCAGAAGGGACCATTTATCCTGTGGATTCTTCAGACCCAAAGACGCCATGGCAGACACAGATGAAAAAGCATCAGTTAGGCAACTGTTATCCACATTTCCGTTCTGATGATTCAGTTCTTCAGACAGGAAATCCTTACTATATATAGGCCTTGGTCTTTTCCTTTTATTCCAAGTCTCTTCATTAGACAAAGCTAATTCAATGTTATAACCAAACACATGGTCATATATTCTTCTTCCATATTGGCCAAAATCTTCATCCTTTCTTCGTTCAAATACATCTTTTGCTTGTTCTGATGAGTTAGTAGCATCACTGGAGCGCACATTTAAATCATTTTCCTGATTCTTGTCTCCAAACAACTTAGCAAAAAGCAGGTCCTTAGCCCATACAATACAGTGAACAAACTGCAAATTCAACATAGACACCATTACCAAATAAATATTTTGTCAACAGCCAAGAAGAACCTGAGCAAATTTTGATGAATAAGATCTATACTATCTTAAGAGCAATCTTAACATAACAAAACCCACTTTCTTTCCCATTAAATTAGTAATAACAATTAACCACTAGTAATAACATTATAATCATAACAAGCCACAGTCAACCAAATATTCCATTTTCCAACACAAAACTAAACTTCACATGCTTGCAAAAAGAAAAGCACGCACCTTTGATGGAGTGCTTGTTATTGTACAGACAGGATAGGTTTTCGGTGCAGGTTTGGGCTGACATTCATAACATTCGGTTTTTCCTTTTATATGCACTGTGACCTGGTTCCATGAAATTGGTAAGAACCAAGGATCATGATCATGACCATCAGAAATGTCGAACAAATCAACACAACCAAATTAAAAGCATGAATATCTGGTCAAACAGGCAGAGAGAGGAAGGAACATGGATTTGTAACATTAGAAAGTAATAAACAAAAGCAGATTTTCTTTTCAACCAATAGGTGAAACTCAATATTTTAGATGCTCGGGTATCAACTACCAAGCATGAATAACAATACTAAATAAATGTCTCTAAGTCGAAATAATTCTTAGAAGTCCATACCCACACATCACATTGAATGCCAGCTTTCTTGAAGGAGACAAAATTTTCATAACAATTTTAAGTCACAAAGATCTCATCAATAAAAAATTACTTAACCTTTGCAAGTTTAAAAAAAACATGTGATGTACTAGGAGGAGAAAATAAAAGGTAATTCCCAATCTGGTTGCAAGTTGTTTAACTAAATTTTATTTGGCTGTTAAAATATCAGGTGGTTGAAACCTCTGTTATACAAAAATGAAAGCAAAATCAATTGCAGTAAACTCACAGTTCCAAGAAGTGGGCATAAAAAAGAAAATGTATAATTAGATGCAGTCTTTTAATAAACCCCTTTAAGGATATAGATTGTTGCCAAAGACTAAATATCATCTTTATTACCTGTCCCAGGAAGCCTGTAGTCCCACTTTCAACCAAAGGAACATCAGCTGCCAAGCAGAGGCGGTTCACATGCCGCCTTGCATCTAGATTGTCTAGTCCATTCAGAACAACGTTAAATTGCTTGAAGAAATCAACATTGAACTCAGGATCCTTAACATTGGCATGATGTGGTGTAATGCTCATGCCAGGCCTAAAATTTAAGACAGCATCGCGAGCAACCTGGTTTAAATATTGATGAGAGAGTTATGAACAACTTAAATAGTGCTTCAGCAAGCATTAAAAGAAAGACTCTCACTGCGGTTCTACCTTGGCCTTAGACTGGCCAACATGTGATTGACGAAATAAAAATTGCCTATTCAGGTTACTGACTTCGATGGTATCCATGTCAATCTGCAAACAGATGATTACAGAAAAAATTATTATATGCCAATAACACATGCCAGCACATGTTGCAAAAACTGAAGGAATTTCCGAAACTCGAACAAAAACTTTCATAGATAAGCGACAAAAGAAATATGGAAATCACCTATACTAATTGTAGCAAATAAATGATTTTAATTTAAGTTCCAAAAACGAACAATAATAAACATGTTACCAATTATCAAGGACAGAGGTAAGGAAAAAATGGTAATAGGATAAACACCAACTAGATGCCCCTGGATAATTAAGGAAAATAATGCCCAAAAAAAAAAGGCATTACACAGGGTTTACCTGCTTTATCCATATTTATATGCAAAGAATCCAACAAAAACGTCAGATTTCTTAATTGTAAAATTTAATATCAAGGGTGAACTCAAACTCCATAAAGAAAATATAACATAATCAGTTATCGATACCAACAACAGCTATGCTTTAATGCCAATACCCACTAACATCAAATTTGATATTTTACCATCAGAATCCAAATCACCATCAACATCCACACCACCTTTCAAAATTGTTCCACAACCAGAGTCTAAGAAATTCATTTGAACCCACTAAGCAAACTCAAGCACAAAACTAACTAACTCCTCAAGGTGGAATCTTTCCATTTTTCCTGTTCACACCAGTACCCAAATATAACAAATTCGACACTTTAAGCACCAAATAACTAAACCCCAGTAAATTAAATTACAAAATAAAAATAAAAATTACACATAATCACCCAGCTAGAAACCCTAGTAAAGCACAAGTAAACCAAAAACAAAACCCATACATAAATTTCTTCAAAATTAAAAACAAAAGCGAAAGCACTAACAATATGAATATCTTGAAAGCCGGAGAGAGCGAGAGTCTTAAGCAGCTCGCAGCCGATACCACCAGCTCCAACCATAAGCACTTTGGCGCCCTAAACAAAACAAAAATCAAAACCCGAAGATACGAAAATACAAAACCCTGTAATCCAGTTAAAATAAAAGTGGGGGGGTTTTGTCGGTACCTTTATTGCAGGTAAGTGTCCCTCTGAAGCCATTGGGACTCAAGGTAGAGAGACAGACACAGAGAGAGAGAGATAGAGGGGGAAACTGAACAGAGCGAGTCAAAGAGAGAGAAGTAAATTAGAATCAGAATATGAAATTTTATTAGTGCGAATAAATAATATTTAACAGAGACGAAATTGTGGGGGCCGTGGGGAATCGAACACGGGACGTGTTGGATGGTGGAGAATCTAAGAGGTCGTGACCCAAAAAGGACGGCTAAGCTTAATAATAAATTAATATTTTTTTTTATTTTTTTTAAGATCTAAAAAAAAAAAAGAAATATACATAAACAAATTTATATATTTTAAATTAACGGATTAAAATATTTATATCATGTTTGGTTACACTAATTTAGGGTCAAAATAGTTTATTTATTAGTGTATTACTAAATATTTTTAGCTGATTTATTGCATTTTAAAAGTGCTTAAAAGATTTTACTATTAGTGAAAAATGCTCAAATTATTAGTCCTTCCCGTGAGCCTTTTTTTATCTTATTTAAAGTGTTAAAATTAAAAAAAAAAATTCTATTTTATTTCATAAATTTGACCTATATCTATTATTATATATTAAAACTTTTCTAAAAAATTAATGCTTAAAATCTCTTTAATTTTATTTAATCTAAATAACCCCAAAAAAAAAAAAATAAATAAATAAATCTTCCACTTTCTACTAATGACCTATACTTCAATGAACTCGACTTGAATAAATCGTCTCAAACAAAGCCATAGACCCTGCTTAATTGGGCATACTTTGCTAGAATAACTTATTTAAAGTTTATAAATATTCTTTTAAAACACGTTATTTTGCATCTTTTGGGAAAGACAAAATCTGGGCTACTTCCCATAAGCCCTTTTTTTTTTTTTGGTGATCGAGGGTGTCCGGACTAGCTTATACGTATCTCAACTACTCATTCGGGGCACTGAAATTGATAGTCGAGTAAATCCTCTCAGTAGTCACATCTATTAACAACTTAAGTAAATCAAACTCAATACCTCTTAAATAATACATCCAATAGTTCTAGTTGACCGTTGGACTATGGTGGTTTCTCATAAGTTCCTTTGAGTTCATTGAAAGTGCCAAAATTTCCAAAAATACCATAAAGCTCTTTTTTATTTTTCTATCCCAACAATTATCAAATTTTTTGTAAAACTCGAACTCTCATAAATTCTATTCTAGTAAAACTCTATTTGAATAAACTATAATAAACGACCCTTAATACTCTTAGTTTAAAGTAGGAGATTTCAAGTGGGATTCAATTATTTTATTTATTTATTTAAAATGTCATAATTGCATATGATTAATTATGACTCTTAGGTGTATTACTAAGAGATTCTGAGCTCGATCTATCTAGGTTGTTAATAAGGATCCTTATTGATCGAATTTACCCAATTATCAACTTTAGGTTTCTGAGGGATTAGTTAGGGTCACAAAAAAAAAAAAAAAAAAATTGCATACAAACCCAACATCTTTTTGTTTGAGACAAATTGTATAATTAATTACATTAATATTGTTTCTTTTCTTTTCTCTTAATTATAAGAGTTTATAAAATAAGTGGGGAACAGGATAATCCACTCCCTAGATCGGATTACATTTTAAACATCAAATCGGATTACACTATTACCAAACAATCAAACAAAGCGGCGGCAGGTACGGACTCGTCACTCGTGGGCTCGGCCCCACCTTTCTATTCTTAGCGTGAGTATGACGGTGACGCCACGTTTCACATCTCCATTATTTCCTCTAACATCTTTTCTACCAATCATATTTTGCCAGCTCGTCGGACTTATACTAACTACGATGGGTCGAAGAATCTCGCCGCGATTATTTGTTGAGTCTTGAGACGTTTCCTCCGTCACCATCACTCCAAACTTCCAAAGTAAACACGAGACGAAAAGGGAAATTACAGTGCCACTGACAGACTTCTCTGTAGCCAGCGGAAGTCGCGGAGGAAGTCCAACCGCGCCTGCCAACTCTTCTGCATTATTTTGGTGGCCAATTACAAAGTGTTTGGTTCGGATATCTTGTATTTTTTTAAGGAACTGAAATCAGGAACCGATGATTTCTTGAAATTTAAAACTAGAATTGGAATTGATGGTTCCGATTCTTAGATACCCAGAACCAAAACTTGTAATATCGGTTCCAGTTTTGGGTATCTTGTAATAGGAAGCAAAAAAACCCTTAAAAACTTAAAATACCCCCCATCTGGTACTTGTTAACAAAAATAAAATTACAAATTATAAGTTCAAAATTACAAACTCCATTACTTTATAAAGGTAGATTTTCAAAAGTCAAACCAACTTACTTTAAATGTTATGAAATATAAACATAAATGTATTCACATTATTTTTTCTACAAAAGTTTTTATTAACCCCCATAATCTTTAATTTTATTTTATATTAGTCTCAGTTTCTGGTTCCTGGTTTCGGTTTCTATTCCTAACTATAGAAACCAAAACCGGAACTGCACAGTAACAGTTCCAAAAATTTGGAACTGGAACCTACTCGTTGACGGTTGGTTCTAGGTATGAACAGGAACCGAACCCCGGGTACCCGCCAATTCCAGTTCTAACCGATTGTTTTGAACACCCTTATGACTAAATACTGTTCTTCCAAGTTCATTTCAATCATAAAATGGAACTATAACAAGAATAATGAAGTGATAGTAATATTAAATGATATGGCATCTTATATGGAAGGCATTAGAACAATGAAGTGTTTGAAATGCCGACGAACCCCATGAAGATAGATAACATTATAGCATATGCAGATAAAGACAAACACATTGAACAATGACGTCAAAGGAACTCCGGGAGTTGAATTCTCAATTAGGTTTTACTGTTGATACTAATCAATCTGTTGATTACTTAAATTGCAATGTGATATTAAAAGCGAAGATTTCTTCATCCTGTATATATATAGGAAGGGGAAAACCTAGTGCACTTCAAAATAATGTTCTGAAAATCAAGTCTCGGTTCACGGTTTGACCGGTTAAATAGCTGGTTTAACCAATTGTTTACAAAGTTTAAATGCTTACACACACACACTTGAGAACTTTTTAGTCCCTATAGGTTTGAAATATAGAAAATACACCCCTATGATTAGTTCGAGTTTTGAATTTTTCGGCCAAATTCTAGCTGATTCTGACTGCTAAAGTTCAATCCGACACCACCACCTGAACTACCGTCCTCCACTCTACAAAACCTCTCTAACCTCAGAACTTGGCAACCCTTCGTTCGTCGGTCGTGACTTACAAATATCGTCGTTTTGGATTGATTTTTTGGCCAAATTTTAGCTGATTCCGACCTCCAACATTCAATCAAACACTATCACCTAAATCACTAACCTTCATTCTACAAAACCCCTATAACCCCGACACTGGTCATAACTCCCATATTGAGTTGAATTTTTTGACCAAATTCTGACTTATTATGGCATCAAAATTTCAATCCAAGACTACCCCTTGAACCACCGCCCTCCACTCTATAAAAACTATTTAACTTTGACATTTATTAGCTCCTCATTCATCGATGATTAAATTAGGGATTTGGGTGAACAATAAAATTAAAATTTTGAACCGAAAAAGAGGTCGGTGGACGGGTTGGACCAATCCGACCGACTGGTCCAGTCCTGTCTAGTTTTCAGAACATTTCTTTATAGAATTGCATTATGTTGGGTCGGGGCTTCGAATCCCATGTATGAATGGGTAGGATTGCCCATTTACCACATCGGATTACAAACAAACAAAAAAACTCCAGAGTACGGACTACGTTCCGCGCGTGAGCTTGACGGCGATACGCTTTTTCAATTTCTTTCTTATTATTTATTAACTTCTCTTTACAACGTGTCAAATATTTTTCGGTAAACTTCGCTTTGCATAATTTGTCCAATTATTTTCTGCCATCTCACCCGAACGCAGTAAAATTGTGATCCACAGGAGAATTTCTCCGCGATACCTTCTAGAGTCCGACTCCACTCTCACTCATCGTCGTCTCGCCTATAACTAAAACGGCAAAAAGAACACGAGACAGTGACGGTCAACATCTCTATGTAGCTGCCATTAACGGAAGAAGAGACGTCGTTTCGCTGAAATGTAAGTCGTCTATTTGACCTAAATTCAATGCCGATAATTTTCTTCTAATTTTTTGTTAGTTTTATGAGGTTTTTAGGGTTTGATTATGTTATTTTCTTTGTTTAGTTTATTGTTGATTCTTCTCAGCTATGGAGTCTGCAATGATGGTTCTTCCATTAAATTACGCCTCTCCAAACGGTAGGCCTCTTAAGTTATGTTTATAGAATGGTTTGTCGGTTTCATTTGTGACTGTTTGCTTGTACACATTGTTTTTTTCACGGCTTGCATGTAAGTTATTTGGATATTTGTTTTGATTGTTTGCATATCTCTATATGATTGGCTAATTTACGTGCTAGTTGTGAAGCCAAGAAATTGTTAATGTATATGTTTGTATTGTGGTCGAAAGACAAGTTTTAAGAATAATCTAGTTATATGTTCGTGTTCTTTTGTGAAGTGTTGAATTGACTATCAGCCTACGAACTGGTAAGGAAGGGACTAAAGTATTGACCTGTTTATTGCTTCTTCAAAGATGTAAAAGAAATACAATATGTGTTTGGTCTTTCTAGGGTTCATTGGTTTCCTCACTTTGAATTCTGAAAACACCCAATTCTTGACTTTTATGTTTTGACAAAGAAAGCATTTATAATTATCTCAAATTATGTTTTCCTTTTTTTTTTTCTCCTTGGTTTGGTGTAATTTAATGTGTAGTGGTTGCTTTTAAGATTTTTTATTTGTCTAGCATGGTTGATTTTTTATTTATATTTTTCTAATTGTAATGCAGTTGCTCATTTTCTGCTTGATTTGTGTATTATTTCATTTGTTTTGATAGAGTCGTATTCAAAGGGACATAAAAGAATTAAATTATTGAGTGATGCGAACACTTATGGTTGTACTACTTCCTCTGCATCTGTGAAAAATGAAACAGAAGAGAAGAAGGCAAAGGTTTCACAGAATATTGTCGATTATTCTGATCCATTTGCCATCTCAAATTTGCTTGATAACTTAGATTCTGGTAA